TTAGAATATCAGCTTAGAGGGTTCAGGGTATCTCCTAGTCGAGCAGTCTCGACTAGAGTCTTCTTACTTGTCGTAATAGGTTTTAACATAAAAACATTTAGTTTTTGATCAAAACACAAAAATTGTATAAGTTTATTTCATTACCATTATCCCCAACCAATACATCGAATTTTCGTCGACATAACCGGTTGAGCGCACGCATTTCAATGTCACTTTCTGAAAGTTTCATAAAGATAGTCCGTCCACAGTTAACTCATCCGATTGCTTTTTTATCGAGAATAACCGATACATTTATTTCGTTTCTTGAATACTATTAGACCTAGCGACTTCTCATTTACTGTGTTTACACATTTGATACCACGCGAACTACTAGAACCTTGTGCTTTAGAATATACACATTCAGTCCAAGCGCAGCCGCAGGTTAGTGCACAGTTAGCAGAACGCGTGCTTGTAGTCGAGCAGTTTCTACTAAGGTCTTAGATGTAAGAAACTCTTAAGTGTAACGTTCTTAACTGAATAATGCATCGATTACTAATGATATTCTTGCTTGCTTTTGCTGTGTGTTCGTAGGACTCCAATAATGCTAACGACGGCTCTCCAATGTCCAGCTCTGATGTTGAAACTTTTAATGGCAAAATAGTTTACAATCTTGACGGCAGCGCCTTAATAATCGATGCAGGCAATGCGACTGTGTCGTCCAGTAATCATTTAAGATCAAGCTCTGCCACAACGACACCAACAGCAGCAGCAGCAGCAGCAGCAGCAACAGCAACATCAACATCAACAGTAACAGCAACAGAAACATCTACGGCAAGAGCACCCACAGATGTACAGTCAACAGGCATAGAGAATCGGAGCAGGGGACAAGTTGACGTTGAGTCTGAGGCTGACGGTGCAGCTGAGGGTGGTGATTTGGGAGTGGATGATACTTGCAGGGTGCCCAGACACTTGAGCCCAAGGATTCATTCATTTCGCGTGGTATCCGCCCAAGATGCCAGCAGCCATTGCCTGGATGCGGTAGATGCGTTCCAGACACAAAATCATAAGCCGATATTAATGTGCTTCATATGCAAATTGTCGTTCGGCACTGTCAACTCGTTCAGCTTGCATGCGAATAGCGAGCATCAATTGAATCTGGTGGAGTTGGAACAACAGCTTTTGAATCGTGAATATTCGAGTGCGATCATTCAGCGGAATATGGATGAGAAGCCGCAGATCTCATTTCTACAGCCATTGGATGTTAAGGATGCTCTCAACATTGATGCCAGCGAAACGAAGCGCATTCAGGATCAACTATCAGGATCGGGCTCCAGCTCGGGCTCTGGCTCAGGTCGAGGGGAAAGCTCGAGTGCCGAGGATGCCGTAGCTGATGTTGAGATGACAGAGGCGTTGCATAGTATTGCAACAACTGTGAAATTTGGTTCCTTAAATTTAGCAACAATTAAGACTAATGATAAGCCAGGTGCAAGTGCAGGTGGCACAGCATTGACAGCATGCAGCTCTCTTCCAACTGCAAGAGGATCATCAGCATCGCCGACAGATGCAGCCGAGCCGTTGCGGGTGGCTTGCGAGGGCGCAACACGTTCGCCTACCCCTTCGCCCCAACCTCCACCTCCTCCTCCTCCTCCTCCTCCCCCTCCTCCACCTTCAGGCTCAGCTGCAACTGCAGGTCTACCCAGTCCACCTTCTTCAGATGTAAAGTCCAGTACTGATAATATAGATAGCGATAAGTCAAACAAGCGTAGCCAAAGGTCGGAGTCACTCGCCTCCGGATGTGGCACTGATTCACCCACAGCTCCACAACAGCAGCAGCCTATGGATGCAGATGCTGCAACACTAACAGCGGCCGAAATGTTGCAGCAACATCTGCTCTCATTGCAGCAGCAGCAACATCCGGCCGGCGTTTATCCACCCACAATACAGGCCCAGGCCCAGGCTCAGGCCCAACTAAGTTCCTTTCATGCGTCTCTCACTGCCTTGGCCAATGAGCAGAATGCACGAGGTGTTAAGCTACTCACGGAATTCCTGCAGCAGCAGTTACAGCAACAGCAGCAGCAACAACAGCAGAAACACCTTCCGTTCCCCACACACTGCTTGGAGCATCCCGATTTTAAGGGTGTCGACTGCAAAACTTGTGAATTGATTGATATTCAACACCGAGCCAAGTCCCCGGCTACTCCCCAATCTCAATCCCAATCTCAGTCGCTGCCGCAGCCTCTGCGCTCGCCCAACGGCAGCATCTCAGCATCTATGCCCATCTCGCCCACCGCCTCGTCCGTTGGCAATACAACAGCATCGAGCTTCACGATTGGCGCTTGTTCTGATCATATTAATGGGCGACCCCAAGGCGTGGATTGCGGTCGGTGAGTATCCACGTTTTTCTTCCGAGGCAATCCTGCGTACCCAACTAAAGCAGGAATATTCTACTGGAATATATACAACTCATATATATATA